TTATTGAGTTATAATAAAAATTTTAAATATAAAAGTAAGTTGGAGCTTTTTGGAAATGGTCAAATTGATCATTGTATATTAGTTTATAGAAATTTGAGTCTTGAAACTAGTGTTGTTATTGATCCATTTTCGATGTATTATAATGAAGATTTTGTACTTAACACATTTGAGAATTTTATAAAAAAAACGCAAAACGATTTGCATTTTAGTTGTAATATTCAAAGCTGGACGACTAGTAGAAATTATAATCAATTTTTTAAAAACATACCCGTCCAAATTTTGGAACGCAACGATAAACAAATAGAGTTTACTCAAGAAGCTAAAGATTATGAAAAAACATTAAATATTAATTTTGAAGAAATTCAAAAAATCGCAAAAATACAAGTAGAAGCTTTTATTCGCGCAGATATAAAAAAGGCCCTCAATAGAGAGCTTTTTTATATTGAAAACAGCGTCAAGCCTTGGTTTTGTGACAACGCGACCAGGCGGCTCAACGCCGCTTCTTCCGTTCTGAGTTACATCCCTGTAGAGCTCAGATAATTATTATAGCACACGTTTTCGGGCTGCAAAGCTTCTTTTGTTGAAAATCCTAGCCGCGCGGCAATGAGCGCAGAACATCGTTATTAACAGTTTTTGTGGATAAGCGTGATACAATCATTTACTACAACTATTTACGAGGTTTTACATGTCCAAATTATCGATTACAGCAGCCGCAAAAGCCGCAGGAATTTCACGTCAAACGATGTATAAAAAGTATATAAACCACGGCTTGATAAGCGTTGAGACTGTGAACGACATTAAGCAAATTGATACGTCAGAATTATTGCGAGTTTTCGGTAGTTTACAGCCTGTTGACGATGATGTTTTACAGCCTGCGACAGAGCCGAGTACAGCGATTGACAGCGCAGCAATGGCCGCAAAAGACGAGCTAATAGCGATTTTGAAGCAACAAATTGAAGACAATAAAGAACGTGAAAAATGGCTAATGCAACAACTAGAAAAAACTACGCATTTACTTGAGAATAAAGCAGAAGAGAAAGAGAAAAAGCGGAAGAAAATTTTTGGTCTTTTTTAAATGAGAATACCACGCTCTTTGAGCGTGGTATAATATTTGCTGATTTAATCGAACTTGCACTTCAACTAAATCAATTCAACGTAGTTTAAGAAACAAACTCTTAAAATCGCGTCAAACATAACAGCGATATTATACCGTTTCTTAAGTTACATGTTTAAATTTTTTTTGAAAAATTGAAAATAATGTACTTGAGCACTTGCACAAAAACTCAGACACACGCGCAGTCTAACCGCGCTCACTTGATACAATTGGAACTAATTCGTAACAAA